AGTGTCAAAAGCATCCCCACCTCTTCTACCTTTGAGCTAATTGTCAAGGATTGCTCAAAAGCAATTGTTCATGCAGAGTGATGGCAATCAATGACACAAAGAACTGAGATGGTCATTGTAACCTTGCCTACACTCGCAATGGACTTCATTTGCTCTTAATGATCGGCTATGCAGCACTATGGCCATCGCTGCTCATGTAACTACAGAAGGGTGAAAAAGAAACAGTGTAAGCTGAATGAAACAGTGACACTGAAGTAGAAAGAGAGGAGAGAGAGAGAGAGAGAGAGAGCAGGCTTCTTGAAAGATAAACAAAATGGGTGGTATTCAGGTTGTTCCCCACCTCTAGTCCCCACAACACACACACAGCTGACAAATATTTAGTGTGATCCTATTTCTGGCATACATGTTGATCATCATTTTCCCTGGTTTGAACAAGACATGTATGGGTCTCTCCCAAATGATAATTGGAAGGAGGATATACTCCTATAAAACCAAGCACAACCAATGTCCTAATTTTAATTATATTCAAGACTGGATTTTGAAACCTGAAGAAAAACTCCCACTGCTGATGATGCCCCTGGAAGTTAAAAGTGTACAATGAAGGTCATTCACACATTGCACAGAACCCAGTTACACTGCCTCTACACATGCACAAGTGTTTCTGTGAAAGATTATGCACTTCAGCATATGTACAGCTCAGCAATGGTGTACACAAGTATATTGATAGTACACTTGTTGAACATCACATGCAAATTATCATTCAAGAGTACAGCTCAATTATTTGCATATGCAGGCAAGCTGACTGTAATTATCATTGACTGTAATGTGTGGACACCCCTTGTGGGGGGGTTGTTTTGAGGGTATGTACGTGGGAAAGGGACCTTTATTTTTCCTTCAGCAGTAAAATGGAAAACACTGCCTTTGTATTCACTGAAGAGTCAAGATAAAGCATTTTTCATTAAAACCCTATCGAAGTAGGATAAAATACTTGAAAACTGTTGTATCATCCTTGGTCATGACTGCTTCTGGAATCAGCAGCCGAACAGCCTTCATGGACCCAAATGGCATCTATGTTCCTGGTGTGTTGTCCACAACAAGCACAGATCTTCTTGGATACTTTAGCTAGGATAGCCATATTTCAAAAAGCGAAAATTCGGACACAAAAGTTGTTGGGCAATTTCTGCCTGGACACTGTTTCTGACTGCTGTATTCCAGCTGTGTCTGGGAAATTCCATATGTATGGCACGCCTACTTTAGCAGTTGGCTGTGCTTGATTCTTGAAGCTGGTGACACAGAACATGCCCCTTATTGACCTCCAGCAGGTGGCATCGCAGTTTAAAATGAATACTTGTCCCAAATTACTAGAGCTCTAGGGAGAATTGGGGTGACTCAGGGACTCCTGCCATTGGTGGTCCATGACAATTTCTTGTTTAGATGGCTGCCCAGCATAATCCAACACATGCACCCAAAATGTACGTTGGATTTAAATCTTGAAATCCAAGGCAAAGTGGGGTGTCCCTGGTGGTATCTTGGGCTTGTCAGGAGACAAAGAAGACTCTTCAAGGCAGCAGAAGTCAAAGTAGTGATCCCTCAAGTGCTTCATGGCACCTTGGTGACCCAGACATGATAAAATGCTGCCAAAAATCTGCTGAAATTAAAAGTTATGTCTCTAAGATTGCAATAACACCATAATGCCAAAGTGAAGTGGTAAGGGAAGGGAGAGCAAGCATACAACTGGGGAGAGGTTTCTGGGGGAGGGCTCCATTGTGACTGGCAGGTCTAGCTTGCAATCAAAGGGAGTGCTTTTTTTACCCAGAAAGCAAATCTCATTAGTTTTTGTCATTTCCATAAAATCAACTTTGAAGGTTCTTAGCACAAAAGTCATTGAACCTATTTTTCTGCACTTTGGAATGTTTCTTACCGAGAGGAACCTCTCTCATGTCTGTTATTTTTGAACCAATTTCCTACTAATTACCCACAAAACACTAAAGGAGATTAAATTGTTCCTTTTTCATTCAACCCCCAAACTGTAACAGCTGCCCTTGCAGGGAAACCACAGCAGCTATCCTTCTGGAATTTGGAACAATTCAAGCCTTCAGAAGCAGTGACCTTACCTTCAAATTTCATCCATTTCTGTCCAAAAATTTAAAAGGTTTTAGACAGCTCCTTTTTGGGAAGGGAGAAATGGCCACATTTTAGAAGTGTCTGCTACAAGAGCCCCTGGACTCATTTCCCTGAAATTTATTAGGTTTATCCACCCTGGAAGGAAAAGTATGCCTGCAAATTTTATCTAGTTCTGCCAGAAGGAGGAGGAGGAGGCATCAAGAGGTCCAGGATAATTAGTAAGAATGCACTTCCCGTGTGCCTTTCCTGGTGTTGGTCATCCACAAGGTTGGTCCAAATAGTCTCTACACAAATACTTGGCATTGGCAGTGGGAGTTTCTAATCAGATTTCACAACCTGATCTTCAAAATTAGCTTCTTAAAAACAGCAAAGGACATTGGTTGCATTTAGTTTTGTCAAAGTATATCCTTCTGCATGCCTAGAGCCAATTATTATTTGGGAGAGTTCCATAGTTACCCTTTTCAAACCAAGAAAAATGATTATAAACATGTGTGCCAGATGTTGAAAGAGGATCACACTCTGTTCAATATAAACTTAACCTGCCCTTTCAAACATCAAGGGAACATTGGACAATTCCTCCCACTTCTGATGACAACCAGTTCTACAATCAGTGAGTCCAGTTGCCAGATTTTGTTGGAAAGTCCCCCCCCCCCATTTCAGTTTGGAACCTGGGTTAAATCCCCAGACTAAAATGTCTCAACCATCTCTGACCACCTTGGGAAGGTGAAAGATCGTGTAAGAACTTCAGAGCCTTTCTGAATCAGACCAAATAATAATTTGAAGCAGGAGGTTGGGTAGGTGGAAAATCTATAAACTACTCTCATGCGCCTAGGAAGGGTGGGGTAGCAAAACCAAAAACCAACAACAACAAGGACGACACACTTAGAAACTTCTTGTATTGATGTCTTTTGAGGCCCTTTCAGGAGATGGACTTGACAGGCTTCAGTTGACTTAGTTCCATGGGGAGAAGCTTCATTGGCCTGTGTAGGGTGTTTTGGGAGAACAGATTAGGCACTCACCATATTAAATCAGTTTGACCATCCTTTCTATTTACCACCATTGTGATTTGAAGGGGAGGCTCTCCATCCACACAAAAAAAATTCCTTCCAGTAGCACCTTAAAGACCAACTAAGTTAGTTCTTGGTATGAGCTTTCGTGTGCATGCACACTTCTTCAGATACACTGAAACAGAAGTTGCCAGATCCTTCTATATAGTGAGAAGGTGGGGAGGGGTATTACTCAGAGGGGGGTGGGAATGGGTGATTGGCAGATAGCTGTGATGAGTCTGTTGAGGACCCTTAACGACTGCAGTAGGTCTTACAGGTCTTACAGTCTTTAAGGTGCTACTGGAAGGAATTTTTTTTGTTTTGACTATGGCAGACCAACACGGCTACCCATCTGTAACTGGAACTCCATCCACACAGTTCTGCAAGTCTCTCAACACCACACTGGATGAACTGATGACTGTACTGTTTTACTGATGTGGGATGTGGAACAAGAAGACGACAGTGACTAATCAGGATTTTAAAATCCCAGATTCAGGGGGTCCAGGATTCTGTTTTTTTCATAAAGACCTTTAGGGTTTGGGATTCTCACCACCACCACCTTCCAATGCTCTGGGAATGCTTGGAGCTTAAATAGTGGAGTCTCCCTCTCATGGCTCTTCCAGCCTCATTTCTCTTCCTCCTTTGTTGTCTTACAGTCTCTGCTGCTGTTTTTTCTTTCACACTTGTTTCCTTCTTCATCCTGTAGATGAGGACCTCCAGGACCTAATGCCAGCAGGTTGCTTTCTTTTCTTTTTTAAAAGATCATTTCTCTCCACCGCCTCTGAACTGGTCGACGCCCTCCCCCCAATCAAAAACAGAAAGCGCACACACAGCCGTTGTGTCGCCAAAGTGCCTAGAGGTAACACACTGGAATCAGTCGGATTTACTTCTGAGCAAACATGGAGAGGATACGGACGCAAAGTAACTCATATCAGGAGTAAATGGGTTCTAAATTCACCCCTCCCTCCCCCCCCCACGCCACAGACACACACACCAGTTCATGGCGCTATTAAACTAAAATAGATGTTAGCCCTAATCCAAGACTGCAGTCCTATACACGTTTAGGAATAAATTCCGTTGGATAAAGCGGGAGTTACGTCTGCGTAAACGCGCGTGGAACCAGGCTGCAAGGGCAACAGCGACTCACAAGCCTGTAGGAGCGCTCGGCAGTAACCCACTCGCGCCTCCGGCTGAACCGGGCTGTGGATCCGTCTGGCCGGATTCGCGGAACCGTCTCCACCATCCCTTGCACCAAATCGCGAGGGGATGCGGTTGGAGACGTACCCAGGAGGGAGAGACAGAGAAATGGTCTGGATCCTGCAATAACCATCAACGGGTTGGGGGGGTTGAGAAGCCTCGGGGAGAGGGGCTTACCTCGGCCCAGATAGGAGCTGCCTAGATTGCCTTGTGTGTGCGCGCGCATGCGTTGGGGGGGGTGCCTCCACCCTCCACCCTCCATCCACGAGCGTTTCTCCATCCCCTCCGCCTGTTCTGTGACTCAGTGTCAGGCAGCGCTGACATTCCCTGCTCTTCCCCGGAGGGAGGCAGAGAAAACGAGGAGTGTGTCTCTGTGTGTGTGTGTTTCGAAAGAGAAGGAGAGAGAGAGAGAGAGAGAGAGAGAGAGAGAGAGAGAGAGAGAGAGAGAGAGAGAGAGACGGGGAAACCGCAGCGAAGGCTTCCCTAGTCCTGGTCAACCTCTCCAAAAGCACGGCCGGCGCAATCCATCACCTCTCCAGCTCCGTGCCCACGTTCATTGCGCAGCGCGCGCTCTCCTCCTCCTCCTTCTCCTTCTCTCTCTCTCTCCTTCGCGGAGGAGGAGGGAAGAGGGCCTCCGCTCTCCCCACTTTAAACCCTCTCCTCCCCCGTGGAAAATCTCCCCTCTCCGATCCTTTCCCAACGTTACCGGGCAGGCGAGAGAGTCGAGACCCGGGCGCCCCCACAAACCTGCCTCCATCCATTCAACGCCCTCTCCGGCACTGCGCCGCTCCCTCGATCCGCCCCCAAATCCAGCTCTGCTCCCCTCTCTAAACCGCCACCTCCCCCCCTCATCTTTTGCCTCCGGCTGCAGAGAACTCCCTCTCCATCGCCGCCGCGCGCGCTTCCCTCCCCGCCAGTCATCTTCCCGGGGATTATTATTAGTATTACCTGGCCAGGCTAAGCGCACCGTGATTACCAGAGGCTCGGGTTGATTTATGTGTCATAAACAGCCCGAGCGCTCCTCAGTCTCTCCTTGCCTCTTCCCAGCCTCTCTCCACGGGAGAAAGTTATCCCAGCGTGGGAGACCCATTGATCTAGCCAGCTTTCTCCGTTTGCTTGCTGGATCCCTCTCATCTAGGCACATGGAATGATGTGGCGCTTATTCTAGGCTTTCCTCGCGGAGCTGCCTGTTTTATTTTTATTATTTTTTTTACAAAGCTAGATGTGTGTTATAGTGTACAGTATAGCGAGGAAGAGCGAGCCCTTTTTATCAGCCCCCTCTCTCTCCACCCCTGCCTCCCTCCCTCCTTCCCTCCCTCCCTCTCCCCCTCCCTCCTTTTCCCTCTCTCCCTCTCACTCTGTCTAATGTGCGAGCTGGAAAGCTTATAAAAGCCTGATGTAATCCTTAATGCAGCCTCTGGCTACAGTATAGACCGAGTCTAGTTACAACCGAAAGAACCAGGAGAAGGAGACCGGGATCCAAGAGCAGGAAGCGCAAGAGATCCTGGGAGGAATTAAAAAAAGAGGGTTTCAGAGGCACCGGATGGATCTTGGCCTCCCCGGGAAAGAAGACTTTGGGGGGAGGAAAGCAGCACCCCAAAAGCTCTCAGCTGCTCCAAGAAGACTTCCTTCTCTCCTGGTGGATCTAATCCCGCCTCGGGTTCCTTTCTTTCGTCTCGAAAGTGGGCTTTGAGATTCTCCCATCGCTCAGGATTCCTGCGCCCTTTATCACCGCCGTCGCCGGTCATTATTAGCGATCATATTTCATTTCCAGTTATTTTCTTTTTTTTGTACCCCAATACCAAAGGGGGTGTGAGAGAGTGAGTGTGTGTCTGTGTGCACTTTAAATTTGGAGCAAAGTTTGGTGTGTGTGTGTGTGTGTGTTTAAGAGTGGGTTGGAAGGGGGGGAAGCAAAACGACACCCCCCTCTCCCCGAAATCCTTTTTTGACTCATTAGCCAATGGCCATTTTCTTACTTCTGGATATGTGGATGCTTCCCATTTGGAATTTGATCCGGCTGGGGGAAACGGTATAATTTCGTGGATGGTCTAGAAAGGTAAGTTTTCGGTTTATATACATAATATATATGTATGTATGTGTGAGTTGGTTTGTGTGTATTTGGAGAGGGGTTGATTTATTCTTCCTGAGTGGATGCAACTTTTTTTGGGGGGGTCTTCTTCTAGTATGTGGAGCCGAGCCTAAATACTGAATTGTTGTCTTTTTGAGTCAAACCACTCAGTTCCTACACCGTCGCCTCTCAAATACTGGACCCTTCTGATCCGAACTTTAGCCTTTTTGCTGTTAAGGGCTTGGAAGGTAACTAGTACTGTACTACAGTTTTTGTTTCTGTTTGGTTTTTTTTTGGGGGGGGGAAGAATAAGAAAAAAAAATCTGGACATATTTGCCTGAGGTTGGAGGTTTTAGGAACGAGAGGGAGGGAGAGAGCCAGGGAATGTGAAATGGATCAGTTTTGGGGGCTGAAAGAGGTTCGGTTGCCACCGCAAAGCCCAGCTTGCCTGGAACTGCATAGATGGGGAGATCTGGAGCTAAACCGAACGGGAGAAGGACCGGCAGTGACAGGTTATCGGACCTCGCCACACACACACACACACACACACACACACACACACACCATAGACCACACACCACAACACCACCTTGTTTAGCCTGAGAAGCTGAAAAACCTACAAGTCTGTAATTGGGAAGGGTGTCTTGTCGGGAAGGTCTCCCTTAACGTCGCCTTTAGGAGGCGGCAATCTCGCAGGCACGTTGAACAAAGTCCCTTTCGAGAAGCCAAGCGGGGGCTTACTCGCGAGTAGACGTGAACGGGGATCGCCCTGCGGGAGTCGACTTCTCCCTCGCACCCGCCTGGAAAGCTGGGGGGGGTCGCTGTTTTGAAGCGGTCCCAACCACCACCAACGCCCCCGCCGCCTATTTGAATCATTGTGGACATTTACTGGGAGAGATTTAGGGCGGGGGGGGCAGATCTCCCAAATGCATCGCATCCATAAAGTTCCTCCCCACCCCCTCTTTTTTCCAGTCCCCCCCTATACTTCTGAGAGACCCCATTTTAAGGGGGGGGGACGACGACGACAAGCCAGGACAAGCCGCCAGAGAGATACCTCCCCCCAATCTTGGCGGGCTCCACGATTCTTACTCGCGAGTTGTCCTATTGACCGCCAGAGGCACAGCCTGGAAGCCGTAACTTATGGACTCCTTGGAGGGTAGGGGAGCAGCCATTCTGCGTAAAAACACGAGGCGCGCGAAAGAGATGCCTCCACGGGGAGCACAGGGTGCCACGCTTTGGGGGGAGGACGGACACCCCTTTCCCCCCAGGGGAAGAAACAAGCCCCCTTCTCTGCAGAGCGGGGAAAGCGAAGGAGCAAGGAGGATCTGGGTGGTGGTAAGGAAAAGGAGGAGGAGGGGTGCCCCCCGTACTCATTCCTGTGTCTGCTGCACTGCCAGGCGCTTTCTCCTTTTTTTGTGAGGGGGTGGGAGACAGTCTCCCTCGGTCCCATTCCTGCAACGTCCAGTTCTTCCCCAAACACCTGATTAGGATCGAGAGGCGCACAGTCTCTATAGGCAGCGCCGAGGATTCTTGAACTTAATCCCAAACAAGGTGTTGGCGGTGGGGTTTATTTATTTGCTGGAGTGAAAATAAGCGGGGAGAGTATGACGCCCCCCACCCGGTGCCTTATTCCACTGTTGTTATTGTCCCGATCCAGCCAAAATCCAGTCTGATGGATTGGTGTGCCCCGAGAGGCCACATTTGAATATCACAGCAAGGTCAAATTATTATTATTATTATTATTATTATTATTATTATTATTATTATTATTATTATTATTATTATTGCAAACGGAGCCCAACGATCCTTTAGGACTCGGATTGGAAAATATCCACGCACCTCCCTGCGTCGCGATCAGGCAGCTCCATGGATACGGCTAAGTCTTGCTTAAAGGAGAGACACTTTAGACGGAGGCTGCAGCTTCCCCGCCTCCATCGGATACATTTTCGGGCTCTTTCCTTACCAATCGAGAAGCAAGGTTGACGGCAGAGGGAGCGGGGGACGGGGGGACGGATAGAGAATCAAAACCCCTTTCCATGAATCCGAAAGCAAGGTTTCCTTCCCCCTTTCTCTTCCCTTAAAAAAACACCTGTTGATATACTGCGTTTCAGCCTGGAAGGAAGGGGGGGGGGCAGAGAAAGGAACGGGATCTTTAAAAAACAAAACACCTTTCAAAACACAGGGTTCTAGTCCGCATGACGATAATGGTGAGGAAGTGAGGGTGTGTGGAGTTGAGGAAACAGGAGCAGTGATGCTGCTCGTTGCGTTAGGCGAAGGCGGGGAGGGAAAGAGCCGCCTGCCGCGATCCATAAATCGCGTAAGCCGGAGGAGCGCTGGGAGCCGCGGCGGACTAGGTTGACGGGCTCCTACCGGAGTGTCAACGGGACCTGAATCCTCCGCTTGCTTCGGCTTAAGGGTTTTGACAGACTGCTAATAAAGCCCATTCCCCGAAATGATTAAGGACGTGGGATCTTGCCCTCTCCATGACCCGCACCCCGAGCAGGTTTTCAGCGAGGGAACGCACGGGGGACCATCTGGTCTCGGAGAGCCTCGGGTGGAGGTTTGTCGGATGGGGTGGTGTTGAATCTGTGCAGCCAAAGCTGAGTGCCCCCGTCCCCCCAGCCGTTTAGATCTGCAGCAAAGGATGAGGGCGATACAAAAGGTTCTTAGCTTGGTTAGCCCCCGCACCTTTTCCTGTTTTCTACGGAAACAGTACCGGGAAAACCGAGGCGTCCTTCCTTGCCTTGTGCCAAGCAGACACCAGGGCAGCTTACTCCGGAATTGCCCTGGATCTATCCCTAAGGTGGGGGTGTTGGGTTGACCCACGGATGTCCCTTGCGCCAACGGTATGGGCGCGCGTGGATGTGCTTTTTTGGAGAGTCTCTGTTCCCTCTCCTCGTATATGTGGCTGTTGTGTTTCTGACTGCCTCTCCACCCCATCGCTCGGCATTTTCCTGCATCTGTATGTATCTCGGAGTCACGACGAGCTTTTGGAAACTTCTTCCCTAGTGGAAGCCACCTCTCTCCCCCCACCCCCAGGAGTGCCAACTTGGCCCCGGGACCGTGGGTGCCATGCAGCGTGCATAGCCCTGGCACTGAAATTTGTGGGTGCCCGGCCACTCACAAAGGGTCACGGGGAATTTCGTGGGTGCTCAGGCACCCAGGTCCCCAGGGAGTTGGCACCCAGGGAGTTGGCACTCTCTCCTTACATTGGAAATTGGCGTCATTGGATAGAGTGGGCTGGGAGAGAAAGAATGAGATCACATTATAAGTTAAAGGGTTTGTATCTACTTTCAAAAGTCTTCCTATACTTTTTCGAAATGCAGCCTCCTTCAAGAGAAGCCTCTGTTGGAAAAAGGGTGCTTTGGGAAAGTGTGGGGTGAGGCAGTGGGGTGCAGTGGTTAGAGTAATGGGCTGGGACCTGTGAGACTGGAGTTCGAATCCCCACTGGGCCATGAAGTTCACTGGGTGTGACCTTGGGCCAGTCACTGCTCTCCAGCCTTGCAGGGTTGTTTTAAGGATTAAATTAGTGGGGAGAATTATGTACACCACATTGAGCTTCTTGGCTAAAAAGGTGGGGCATACATGAAATTGATAAATGATACATTTTTGTTTTGTTTTGTTTTCGATGTGGCTGGTCAGGTATTTGACCAAACCAAATTGAGGCAAGTGGAAATAAATGCAGCATTGGTGCTCATCTACGGATAAGCAGAAATCGGAATAATATTTACAACTGTGTGTCAGAAAGCAATGTCTCATAGAAACCCAACCAGCCTGGGCCAAGCGAATTCAGATGTAACAGTTTCCTTCATGTAACAATATTAAACAGTGGGGAGAGAAATGTATGAGATCAAGGTGTGTATAGCCACATGGGCTTCAGGTGCATTTTTGCACTAAAACAGCTCTTCGCTCAAAAGGTTGGATCCCTTCCCAGGTCAATGGATTTTCTCCTGCGAATTCCATGCATGTTGAATTTGAGGCTAGGTATTAGGTGGACTGGTTGTTCTGTAGCTGAAGAACATCGGATTCTGGAAAGCGTCCAGGTCTGGAATGAGAAAGCAAGTCTTCCTTGACCCGTGACCCTAAGGATCAAGGCTTAGGAAAATGAATTGGAGTTGTTCCTGACTTTCCGCCACTACTGCTACATTCAGGGCCCAGCAGTCTGGCTTGCCACTCAGACTGAAAGCTTGGACCAATAACAGGATCCACGGCGTGCTTTTAAGCCAGGCAAACGGCTCCAGAGGGAATTGATAGGATTAATTCAGATGGATCTGGATTAACTGCTTGATGGATGAAGTGATATGTGGCACGAAACATGGGAGGTGAAACAGGTGGGGTGGAAAACCCCAACCATAAACAAGATGCACCTCACTTTTTGCTCAAGTATCATAGGTGGAATATAAACAGACCCTTGTTTATGGCAATCCTCCTGAGAGCTCGAGGCATAAAATATGGACTTCCCTGAATGATGCTCCCTCTAGTCGCTCAATAACAGAGTAAGATTCTGACACTGTCAAAGCTGGGCTGATTCTGAGAGCTCCAGACTATTTTGTCTCTCTAATTTGAGAGGAGCAGTTTTGTCAGACAGCGTTTTCCATTTGTGCAAGAAGAAGAAGAAGAAGAAGAAAAAGCATCCCTGGGTTCTATAAAGCTGCTCTCAAGAATTTCGCTCATGCACTTCTGGGGATAGGCAGAATGACTGTAAGACCCATCTATCTCTTGGCTCATCCATAGATGCCTTCTCTCTACTCACTGATTCCCCACATCTATCCGCTTCAGAATCGATCCATAACAATCTCTCTCTTACACCTTTGCACGTTTATACTCAGAAGTACATCCCACTTAACCTAATGTGACTTAAAGCTTCCCGTGGTGATGATGTTTAGGGCTATAAGTCTTGATCTTGCCTATTCCATCTATGTCTGCCATGCACAGGATTGCTCCATCTCCCCAAGCAGACCTCAATCTCTCTCTTTCTCTCCCTGAAA